CTTATCGAATAAATTTAACGAACCGGAGACCACGAAAGGCCTGTTTCCCCGGGCTCTCGCGAACTCACGTTTTGAAGCTCCTCATTATCGGAGCTTTCGGCGAGGTGAAAAACGCCGTTTACGCGGCAACTTGACATCGTTCCGCCCGTAAATTGCATCGAGCCACGACCGCGTACAGGTTCGCATTTATTTTTTCATTTCCTTAAACGCGTGTCAACAACGCTGCCGCGAGGATATTGTTGCCCTCTAGTCCGACTACGCTCCAGGGTTCACCTCCTTGAGCGGAGTTCGCTTTCGAGCCGGCCAGTTTCAAAACGTTCCACTTATCCTCGAGAACCGAGTCGCACGAGAACCTCATCGAGCTCGTTTAAATCAGCACGCGTGTGGCAATCGTCGACGGTTAAAACGTTAACTAGTACACGTGGTTTTAATATTTAATTTCCTCGAGATGAAAATTTAAGCAATTTCAGAATTCGAGTCGTAATTCTGCATGTAGAGTCTCATTGTTAATATTCCAGATTCATTTTTAGATGTCTTTCAGCTCTGATCCAGGCTCGTTATTTCCGTGCATTGGTTCAAATCTCGGGCGAACGAGATCTCGTCAGGGTCCACTCGGTCAACGTCTTCGCTTCCTTAATATCCGCCCTCACCGCAGCCGAATACTTTCGAGGGTAATACCCCGCGGGGTTAATCCACGGGTTTTCAGGTCGGCGTGTAAACGATGCTCCAGTGAAATGAAAAGCACCGAGAACACGCTCGTCATAGAAGGATAATCCACGCTCGGCCTAATTAGATCATCGAGCGACACGGTGTCTACCGACCGATCCTCTTTCGGTTCTAATAACAAGAGATTTATTTTTCCTGGACCGTGACCATGTCGGATCAATGAATTTCCCGGGTATCGGTATCATTCGAAAACCTACGGTATCGAACGGTGAAAGTTCCGGCTTATCTCACAGTTCAGTCGAGTTTAACCGAAGTTTGCAAATAAGGGAGCTTCATCTGCCATTCTCTCTCACTCTCTACCTCTCCCGTTTCCATCCGAGTTTCTTTGAATTCCACTTGCCCCGTGACAATGACTTAAGTTTCATTCCTTTCGGATAGTTTGCGCAGTCTCGCGTATTTTCCTGGCCCTTCGCCTCTTCCCATACCGCTCCTTCACGCACTGTAATTCACGCTTATCGGCCTCGCAATTCTTTCCCGTGGCTCGTTTCAAAGAACAGTGTGTAGATTCCATTAAACCGGGAAATTGTCTCTTCAATTGCCTCGGACTTGTCCGTCGTCCTTAGATAGCGATCACGTTAATAAGATAGAGGCGAAATTCAACCGCTTTTACATATGTGGAAAAATAATCAATCAAAATTCTATATACTGTGAAGTCCATAAATATTCGTAAACATTTCGAAGTTGGATAACTGTTTTAACATGGAACTTGAAGAGAGATTAGATTACTATATGATGTATAACAGGAAATTAAAGAAAAAGTCGGATTTACACAATTCCGAATTAACATAATTAAAGAAAAAGTCAGATAGGGCACAATTTATAATTCGACTCTGTTGAAAATGTATTTAAAGCATGCTATTTGCAGATCTAAGCATGTTCTATGAACATACGAAGTTTCATTAGGGCATAAAAAAGTTGGACACATTGAAAGACGTTGAATTTTCTCGACATAATCGTTTATGGGTCACAGCAGCGTCAATCAATTTTAATGAAATTTCACATATGAATATAACATGCTTACGGCTCTATAAAAAGGATATTTCAAATTTTCATNGTAAGACGTTAGCGTTGGTTGTTTTACTGAAGACGAAGAGGCCTGCCGGGAGGAATTAACCATTCCTTCGTCGACGGGGTGGGCTGATTCCGGATTGATAACCGGGGGTAGGTTCGACGGACGAGTTAAGGTAACCCGACGTGTAGCTGGTTGCACATATGGAGGAGGAGCTGGATGAGTTTGCGATTAAACGCGATTATAATTAAGGATAATGGAGTTTCGGGACGGGAGTTCCCGCCGCACACACGGAGTCTCTTCGCAGCTGGCGCCGTTATATCGAGTTCCTGTCGCCAGGCAGCGTGCATCCACCGAAAATGCTTTCGGTCATCTAATTTCTACAAGCCCCTGTGTACGTACACACAAAACGTGCGGCCTTCCCTCCGGCGATACAGCGACGCACCACGTGCGTCCTGCATGTTTTTCCTGCCCGAAACGAGCTTTTCGTTCCGCCCTCGGGGGGTGCGAAGGGTTACGTTCAACGGTTAATTTTCTAATGGATATAGAACCGATGGAATACGATACCTTTTTGTACGCGAGACCCCTTTTTAATCTTTTATTAAGAAATCTAGTATGCTTCGATCGAGTTTATTACATAAGCGATGGAACGACGGTTCCCTTGAAAAGTTTCAGTAATTGAGAGACGAGTCGTTGTTCGAGTAAATCGCGTTACTCCTAGAAGACGTTAAACAGACTTGCAAAACTGGCTAGAGGCACGGATTACACCACTGCGGACACTTCGAAGCAAGGAACACCAAAGTCTAAACTAGCTGGCTGGAAATTTGACTCCCCCGGGAGACGGTAACTAACTACGAAGTATGTACAATTCGCCTGTATCGTAATAAGCTACCGTAATTAAGTACCCGGCCAAACGAGTATCGCCGATGACAAACTTTTATAATAACACAATGTAAGTCCGCGTAGGGCCATTAATAAACCTGTATTCTCGTGCGCAATCAAAAACGAAATTGAGAAACTAATCGAGAGGAATCCATTTGGGAGCCATCCTCAGCTGGCAAGCGATATTATCAATAATGAATTACGCCGGATGCGCCGTTAACATAAATTCCTATTGTCGAATAATCGCTACGTATTGTAACCCCTTTTAGTTCTGTAATTATTCAATATTATTAAACATCCGAATCTTCGATTAAAAATACAGAAGTTAAATACAGAAGGAAAGATACGGAATCGAGAAGAAAATGTTCAACAACCGCCTCGCAGACGTCAGAGACTTGACAAGGAGCTTGATAACGAATAACGAACAGAACGTTAAAATAAATTTCAGTTGACGAATAATCGCGATACGTTTCAACTCCTCCTAGTTTTGCAATTATCTCATATTTTTATTCATTCGAGAATTAAAAATACAGAAATTCTTCGTCTCTAAGAGAAGATAAAAAATCGTGAAGTTCAACTTCAAAAGCTGTGTCGACAGAGGCCACGTTTAATTAGAAGGAACTTGATGAAATTCCGATTGTCTGATAATTGCAATATGTTTCAACTTTTCTTAGTCTTGCAATTATCTCATATTTTTATTCATCTGCGCCCTGAATTAAAAATATAGAAGCTTTTAAGGCGAGATCAAGGAGAAAATATCCAAAAGCCGTCTCGCAGACGTCGGAAGCAGCATTTAATCCGAAGGAACTCGGTAACGAGTAACGAGCGCGACGAACCGGAGAACACGTAGGGAGAGAGAGAGAGAGAGAGAAAGAGAGAGAGAAAGAGAGAGAGAGTCTCAGAACCCTTTAATTATTACACGCCGCTATTCCCTGCTGCTGCGTCGCTTCGAGTTCGATTATTTACCTCTACGCAATAATAAATACGAGGAGACATGTGCATCTACACGTCTAATTCCTCATAACGTATAATGAGTTGCGCTACGAGGGGTAGTTGAACGCGGGGCGTTAATGAAGACCAGCAACCCCTAGACAGCTTTTCTTCGCGGACAATGCAATCGGAATCGCTCCTCTGGGAGTCGCAGCGCCGTTCCTTTCCCGGACACGTAAGGTCATAGGAACGGTCCGGTAACGGATCCCCGGGGAACGGTTCGTGCGATCCTCACTGCCATGCCGTTCCATACCCGATGGCGTTTTCTCTCTTGCGATAAGAATTCGAAACGTTGCCTCCGGGCACCGCACCGCAGACCGCGACATAATTGAGACGAACGATTCCCCCTGCTACCGGTGTAGAAATTTCTCTGTAGCTTCTTTCTTTTCAGTACACACTGTTCTGACGGCTGTTACTCGCGATTTAAAAGTTAAGCAGGTATTATATGAACTATTGTAGATACACAGGTGGACGCTGGGAACGAGTTCAGTTTGAATTACGTCTTTCCCTTTACGACGGCTTCTTATCACAATTTTGCAGGGTCAGCAAATATGAGCGGTCGTGTTACAAAAAACGCAGTCATTAATTTCTTTGGCTACCGTTTAAATATGCGGTCTCCCGTTAACGCGAATGAAACTTTTTTAATGAAAACTCTGTTCGTTTGCACGTGGACTTCATTGTTGGTTGATGAACAAAATTTTCAAGGAACAAGAGCGGTAAGCGTGGGGTAGACGTTCGATCGAGTCCGGGCACGTTAACAGAGCGATTCTTTCGGGCGTGGAAGTTTCTAGTTCCGTGTACTGATGAAATTGGACGCGAGATTAACATCGTCTGTCTTGAGTCAACCTACTCCAACACATAGTCGGCAGCTAAAGTTTCACGAGGAAATCCCTAAGTTATAGAGGGAAGCTGTATTTCTCGCATTAAGCGTCGGATCACCGCAATGCTCGAACTAGTTTCGGCTTAATAGCTAGCCGAACAACTGACCGTGGGACCTCCGCTCTCCCAGATTAAGAGATTGATTTTTAAAATCTAATTTCCATTCGTTTTCTTCATTTGATTAAATTAATTTGAATGCGGATCAATTACATTGACATTATTTGCCAATCAACATAACATTTTAACGAATAATTCGTAGGTGCGCTGTTCTGTGTGGTAGCATCGATTCTGTGACAAGTAAACCGGATAGCGACAGGATAGCTACTGGATTAGGTTCGAACCGTTGAACTTAATTGACATTTCGTTTGAAACGGTACTATTTACCGAAATATCTGACGATTCGATGATACCTGTGAATCCACGTGCAACTAAATTGCGTAAACTGTCGAGATTAGATAGAATTATGCGAAATCAAGGCACCGTTAAGGTCAAATGGGAAAAACTTATAGATACATTAAAAAATGAATATGATAGTTTATTATCTGCTATCCACAGTTCTTACAGCACTAACGACAAGAAAAGTAGAATACGTTTAGTCATTGCTCCTACGAAATCTGACAGAATGATACGTACAGTCTACCAAATAATTTGAATTGCCTAATAAATATCCTGAATACATATTTATTTATCTAAAACAACGCACAGAATTTCTACAAAAATATTTTAAAGTACGTAGCATAATAAAAATCACACAAATATTAATAAATCAAAATTATAATTCAACTATTAATAAGTTATTGAAATCTCGTCTCATTTTTAGTTAGATTTCGTGGGAGAAATGTTTCATACAGCTGTAATCGCAATTAAGAGAATCAACTGATAACATTTGTCATCGTCTGTTGATTGAATAGATCCGTTTGCACGGCGTTTAAGAACATGGGCACGCTGTGTTGTCGCTGGAGATGTTGCTCCACCAAGTGGCCGAGCGTCGCCGAGAACGCAGTCTCCAAGAGGTCCACGCAATTCTCTCCGATCTTGAAGAACAGGTAATCGTCCGGCGACTCAGCGTACTGACTAGACAACTTGTATCGGCCTTCCTTCGTTCTGTCCACTCTCCAGCCGAACAACTGATAACAAGCCTGTCGGTACTCCTGCGACGATGCCTTGAAGGCCTCCTTCAACCGAGCTATTTTTATCTCGTGAGTCTGTTTCAGCTCTGCTATTTCCTGAACTTGAAGGTTCGATATCGTCACGTTGGTACTACCCAACGATACTTTCGCTCTCAGCTCCTCCAATTCGCGTAACAACGCCTTCTGCTTCTCCTCCGCTTGCTTCTCCGCAATGGCTGCGGGATTCATGGTAAAGTGCAATATTCTCGAATCGCAATTGAAATCACCCTTTAACGCCCGATGCTCCAATTCGCCCTTCAACCGCTCGACCTCAATCCTCAGTTTATTGCACTCGTCCATTTTATTGTGACCCTCGGCCGCTTGGAGATCGTTTTCCAATTTTGTGACCAATTCTCTGTACACGTCGATCGTGCGTTCCAATGCAGGGATTCTTTCGGTCAACGCGTTGTTGCTGTCGACCGTCATCTCCTTTTCGTACAAATCCAATTGTTGCCGATAACTGTCTCTCTCCCTTGTAACAAGGAGCATTTTCTTTTGAAGTCTGCCGACTAATTTCGTTAACTTCTCCTTGGACGCTGCCACGTCCGACGCCAATTTCTTCGCATCCTCGTAATTCTTCGACAGAACTTGCGATTCCCTCAACGCGGCTTCCAATTTCGATCTCAAATGACCTTCTTCCGATTTTAGCACCAGCTCAGCTTGTTGCAACCGATGTAATTCACGTTTCAAAGCGGGCGGGCCTCCGACGATTCCGATGGACTCGTACTCTGCTAAACGTAACAAAAGCTCAGTCTTCTTTGCTTCGAGCGTTGCTACTTGCTGCTCTACTTTTTCCGTGTGCTCTAATCTCTTCATAACGTTAGCCATCTGTTCTTCCAAAAGCAGCTTTCCCCGAACGGATTCCCTTAAATTAGCAATAGTATCTTTCGCGGCGTTCAACTCCTTTTCAAGTTCGTTCGCTCTCGCCGCTTTCGCGGTTAGCATTTTTCCCTCTTCCCACAGCGCTCTCTCCGACTCCAGCCTTTCAACCTTTATCTTCAAACTTTGAAGTTCCACGGTCTGCAATTCGAATTCCTGCTGCTTAAACTGATACTCCTTCAATTTCTCCTCCATGTGCGCTATCCTTGATTCCGCTGCTTCAAGTTTAAGCTGCGTTTCGTTCACGCTGGCAACATCATTCGTCACCGGCTGGCTTTCCTGCGCGGGTACGTTTTTCAGGTCGTCCACAAGTTTCGCATTCTCGTTCATTAGCGACATAATTTTCTGTTCTAAATTTGTTTTTATCTGTAAATTATATATTAAACATGAGAATAATAAAATAAGTACAGAATGTAAATAAAAAGTACAAAGTACCTGAAATAGTTCCTTTTCTCCAGCAGCTTGAGCTTCCCGTGCCTCTTGAATCGTTCTACGCGAAATATCGACTCTTAATTCTAATTGCTTAATTGTTTGTTTATCCTGCTCCACCTGCATCTCCAAGATACCTTTCTCCTTCTCAAAAACCTCTTCCATTTGCCTACGTATCTTATGAAGCTGTTGCACAGCAGCTTCTTGGTGAGACAATCGCGTTCTCAAGGAAACAACCTAGTACAAAAATAAGTGAAATGTTATTATATATAAAATTTAATCGTTCAGTCCTGGGATGGATAAACTGGGAAATAAAGAGAGAAAAGAGGAGAGACAGTGATGCGAAAGAGAGAATTTGGATGCAAGGAAATGAAGTAATGACAGAGATGGGGTGGTGTGTGCCAGATAAGAGAGGATGAGAGGAAAGAAGAGAAAGCTAGTGACGGAAGTCTTGGGCAAGAAGAAAAATTGCGGTTTTGGCCTATTTCTCCTCTGAGTTTTCGCACATATATAAAATTGCCAACAACATAGCAATGTGTATCATTGTTCCAAAATCTCTGACAGAGGAGAGCCAATCTAACTCACTCGTAGTAGGGTAGAGATATTTGGAAATCTTGTAACATTTGGGGAGCACATTGTTGAGCACTAATGTACAATATTATTGACAAAATAAATTACCTCTCCTTTCAATCTTCTCCATTCCCATGGACTACTCGGAGTGGACTCTGTATCACTCTTATTTAAAATAGAATTATCAGAATCATCAAGCCTTGGTCTTTTAGGCGAGCTGCCAGATGTCTCTAGATCACCAAACACCTGTGACGGACGTCCAGTTCCAGACAACTTTAAGGATACTCGGCTATTGCTTTTCTGGTACATTTCAGATCCTGATTTCAAATCATTTATCATTTTAATAATACTTGTTGGATCATTGTCTTCCATCTAAGAAAAATACGGAGCAACGCAGGTTACAACAAATCCTAACCATTGCATTTTCTATATATGAGTATTTTAATACAAAGAGAAAACTTACCTTTGTTAATATTACGTTACACGATTACCGAAAACAGGATCGAAATACCAATAAGAGTCGTTGGATTACGATTTAAAAGCATAAATAATGCTCAGTCTACAGGTCTTATTTACTATATATTATTTCAGTAATTAGAACTGAAAGATTTGCACTAGATAACTTTGTTGCTAAACACTTTTGGTTTGCGATAATCAAGTATCATTACCGCCACTAATACTTCCCAAACTGAGTACAACAGCACATGAAAGCACAACAATAATGAACAATAACCACACAGCGCACTCCACGAGTGCAAGATCTGCAAGATGCCACAACTCGCCTCGCAACTCGCAACCCTCGCAACTCGCAACTGTCATGGCAAATACATAGGCAACTACTACTGGCCTATAAGATCGAGGTACAGATGGTGCTGGATTTACGAACAGAGAATGTAGCAGAATGTTGTATATTTATAGGTATATATACTCAATAAGCAACGTGTTCGGGTTACAGTGATATTGTGTCCATTGTGTCACAATATTACGTTTCGTAAAAGACTGTGGGAAGAATTACATAGAATAGTGTCCAAAATATTAAGAATAACACTTGATCTATCGGATAAAGAAAAATCGTAGTGATATAGTGACTTCGTCCGGCTATCTGGGCGTTCTCACTAGGAAGTACTAGCTGTTACAATATTGTAATGCACTGCCTAAATAACTTTGAAACGTTGATCAAATTTTATAAATCGATTTATAGTAATAAAATTCTGCATTAAATGAATATTAGTAGAAGGCGAATGTTAATTAGCGAACGTGCGGAAATATAATTGGTTGAAAGTTGAACGGGCTGACTGGCGAAAATTATTTGCACCGCAGTGCGGAGGCTCGCACATTCCATTCGTATTAATATTTATAAATAAAGCGTGAAACACGTTAATAGAAGATGAAATCGATTTGATCGTATTTCTACGTAACATAGAAGATAAATAGTTATAATAATGCGTGTGATATACTGTTGTATAAGTTTATTAGCAGTGTTACTGTCGATAGCTCGTGGGGTTAGTACACTCACGGATCCATAATGCAATTCGTAAATATTCCAGCACGTTTCACAAATCATCTAATTTTCAGAGTGAGCTAGACTACGACGGCTGGCTGCAGTTACGATTATGGCACGCGTTTAATGATGAGCCGGAGCCCATTTTTATAGAAAGGGGCAACATCACTGTATCCAGCGTTCGCAGCGGTGCCTCTGTCGTCGGGCAAAATGGATTGTTACCAGCTCATATAAAGGAGCTAATAAATCTTGCCAAAAACGATGGCAAGTATAGGTTGAAAACAGTAGCTCGGACATCTTCAGGGAGTGAAATAACATTTCTAACTTCGATACCTGCGGTAAGTGTACATAGTTTCAACAAAACCTCTGAATGTATGAAAAAATTAGATACAAGACATGTAAAAGTTCTTTAACTTATCTTGCTATTAGTAGATCGATGTATGCTCTGCACTGTATGCTCTGTGTACTTATAAATAATTATCTTTACTTTGTTCACAGTGCTATCTCCTTGGCTCCGATTTAGAAGATTCTATAACAATTTGGTTGGATAGTGCTGCAGAGCCGATAGCAGTCAGTAT